TTTTATTTGAAACAAAATTTTCTCCAAATATTGGAAATAGTAAAATATAGGCGTCATTAGTATGGTTCATTCATTGTTCATTCAGTGTTCTGAACGCCCCAAAAAACTTGTTATGGCACGTCTAAAACCCGGCTCGGAGTAGTTCACGTTTGACGTGGCATCCGTATTTTTGGGTCAGCCCTCCGCATCCGGCCACTATAAGCAGGATGGTGGGCCGCAATTTTGAGGGAGGACCCACTTCCGCTAAAATCCTCTTTTGACGGTCGCGTAGAGCTGCTGGGTGCCATAATGCGGAGCGTGTCATTAGTTTAAGGGCAGAGAGAGAGAGTTCCCCGCCCATCATAATAACACGTCTGGGCCGATTTTAATCGATTTTTGAGCTTGAGATTAAGAAAACGCGGGTCTGGAGAATATGTGAAGTCGCGGGAAGTTCAAAAATTCCTGGGGATGATAATACCATATAAAATTAATGGATGCCATTGAAAAATCAGGCAGTGAAATGCTTCCAATACTTTGAGTATTTAATTAAGGTAGCGGCCTTAAGTTTAATTTCCTGAACTCCTGGTTTAATTTTAGTAATTTAATTTTTAAGCTATGAATGGTCAAAGTTAAGCAAAAAATTTCACTAATTTAATTAACTAGAGGGATAAAAATATATAAAAACCAAAGCTAATCTATAACTTATGCAGATATGCGAATGATGAATTAACTAATCGTTTTTCAGGCAAGGGGCGTGGTCGTCTCCGCCGCCACCCTATTGTACCCGCCACTCTCCCGGGGCGGCATTGAGGTACGTTTCTTTCCATGACTTGTAAATTTTGATCTCTGCTTTGTGTCATAGCGGGGACAATTTTCGACCCAAACTAGGAATTACGGTGTTAATTTAAACGCTGTTGCACAAAATTCAAAATACACCCGTGTTGGGGCAGAGTATATAAAACGCAAAAAAACTGGCTTCAAATCATCGAGATATATTTTCAGCCGATGCACAACCTGCGCCAGGAAGTGCCCGGCACATCGCATAGTTCGCCTGGTAGGTCTTATATATAAATTATCTATAAAATCTTGACAGAAATTATATTATTAATATTAAGATCATATTCCAGAAGCCGAACTGATCGACGACGACGGCCCGTTCAACCTGGCCGACTGGCGGGGGTCGAGGGTTTGCGCGAGGATGCCCGATAAATCCTTCCAATCAGGTTTCCTGTCGGCTGTCATTAATGCGCGGCACGTGTTGGTACAGGTCGGTATCTTGTCCTGGGAAAAGCTTTGGAAAATAAATATTACAACTTTGATGCTAGACAAAGAAAAATTTTTGTCAGCCCAAAAATTGTATAATCACAGTTTTACACCGATTCTAGGAGTCATTTCTTACTGTAGCTTGCATTTTTTAAGTTTAATTTTGATAAGGTAGCTTTTCCCTGTGTTTGAGCTCTGTAGCCATGAGGAATTTCCGGGTGCAAAGGCTTAGGAATGGGGAAAAGCCGCCTCAGAAAATCCATGTCATCCACCCGGCTGGCTGGATTATAGTAGGCACCGTGCCAAAAACAAGGTCACGGTCGTGTAGTAAAACGTAAAACAGCCAATTTGGCTATAAGAACGGTGTAGAACGGAATGTCGGATTAAACGGAATTTTTAAAGCCATGGAAGCCAGGAAACGACTGAAATATGGGGGGTGTATTAGAGGAATAAGGTAAAAGTATCCAAATATCCATAGCCAAATTTAATAGATAATTTCTCAACGATAATATCCCTTCTTTTTACAGCTTGACGACGGCACCGAGCTCTCCTACGAGGATATCCTCTCCGAAAACGATGGTGCTGTCATCGGCGATTTTGCCCCGCTACCGGCAGTGGTACGAATTCATCAAATTTCTGGAGCTGTCTCTTCTTTTAGATCCGTACCCAGGCCGTAGTTTGCATCCGGCGGAACCCAGCACAGACCGTTTGGCGTCCCGCGGAATTGTTGCAGTGCAAGGCTTTGCATAAATACAAGGTAAGCCAATCCGTAAATTCGCTTTTCCGGCGCCGTCATTAGCAGCGAAACGTAAAAAAATTGCTTGTTTAGGTGCGTACGGTCGAAGGGCAGGTCATCTGGATCCCGCGGAGTCACATTCGATTGCTGCGGGCTCCGTGGTACGAGGAGATACATCAGGATGGAATTTTGCCGCCGAGACCAGAAGCTGTCCACGTCGGGTGGGTTAGAGAGAGAGAGAGAGAGAGAGAGAGAGAGAGTGCAAAAGTGAGCAAGAAAGCGAGAGAGCGAGAGAACCCCGTCTTCAATTTCCGTCAATTAATGCTTTACAGTAGCCCCACCGTCCCCTCCACCACCTCGACCCAACCAGCCACCCCGTCAACTGCCTTCCCCTCCACCCAGCCGAAAGCCACTTGAACCTCTTCAGCACCATCCGTATCCAGCATATGTTGAATATGCAGGGCGTCATGCATGGGTATGTTTTTAGGCTTTAACTGTACTGTAAATCTAACCAGTCCTTATCCTTCATTTTTAGTGCTTATCTTTGCAGGATGACAGCCGCGGAAATTTCGCCGGTCGTCAAGCGGCAACATGTGATTGACGTCGAGGATGAGAGCAAGGACTTTTCGGTAAGATTTCGATCACCTACCGTGATACGCAACGCTACACGCGACGCGAAACCGGCTTCGTTTGTCATTTAAACATACATTTCCGTGATTTCAGATCCACGACATGCAAGCCGGCACTTCAGCTCCACTGCCACCACCACCAGTATCTCTCTGCGGTCCCTTGACATCATCATCAAGCGATCCCCACCCCCATCCATTTCCACGTCTCCAAATGCCGCTCCATGCCTCAGCCTCTGTTCCCGTCAATCCACGATTCTCGCAAAACGATTCCTCCGACGACCTAGACGGCCCAAGTGCTTTCACCGCGGCTGGACTTGCTGTGAGTTTTTTTACAGTATTTTCCCATATATTTCTGATTTTTCACTTCTTTAGGGCTTAAAAAGAATCGTGTTTAATGACGAGGTAATCAGCACAACGCAAAAAAAAACATTTTTTTTTGGTTTTGGGATACTGTAGATACCAATAAATTCTATATGACTCAATTTAGCAACGCTACAAGAAGGGAGAAATTGTGACGACACCTGGCGGGATTCGGAAGAAGTTCAATGGGAAGCAGTGGCGGCGGTTGTGCAGTCGGGAGGGATGTAATAAGGTATCTTTCAGGGCTTAATTATGCTAATTAATCCATCATAGTTTCAAAATGTAGATAGTAGCAATTTTTTAAGGTAAAAAGCGTGTCGTTTAACTGTAAAAACCAGCAACATCCTGAAACTAGGCATGTAAAGCATGTCAAACCATCATAAACCTACAATGCCCGAAAAATATCTTTTGGAAGACAGAAAGAGTAGACTTTGATACTCTAAAGATACCTAGAACGACCAATTTTTCCATTTACTTTTTTAAATTTTCAAAACGTCCCCTTTTCCCAAATTCCAAGAATCTACCTGGGCGTCGGCTTTTCGTTTAAAAAAGCGTGGACTTCAAGCAGCAGCGGAGGCCTAAGGATCGGATTTCCCAAATGACTCTCAATTTCTTCCCCCACCACCCAATCCAGTCAAATACCCGAAATATTGACCCGTGGTCGAGGGGGTGATGAGGCAGAAAAGCACGTGGGAGTCAGCAACAACATGAAAATGTCTATTTTTAGAAAAATACCTGAAAGCCTACCCAAATATGCCAGGCCCAAGCTGGAGCCTAAGCTAAGCCTAAGCGAAGCCTCAGCCAAGCCTAAGCCAAGCCTGAGTCTCAGTCGGAGCGAAAGCCCAAGCCTGAGCTGAGCTGAAAGAGATGAGGACGGCATCTGTTGAAGCCCCTTTGGGGAGGGGGGGGGGGGGTTCAACAGATGCAGCGGCGAAAGAGGGCGCCCAGGGGGAGAGGCGCAGAGACATTTTCTTTCCCGCGCGTAATCGATTGACTTATGCCGCCCTTATCCCTTTAAGCTAATAAGCCTAAGCCTAAGCTAAAAACCCAGACTATCAAAATTCGTCATTCTTATAACTCTTGAAAACAACAGCAAAAATACACCTAAAAACCTGATCTCTGTCCATGCTATCACCTTTTTTCGTAAAGCACTCACGCTACACAAAAATAGCCGGCCGAATTCGTGCTATATCTCCTATTCTAAAATGCCTCACCCTAATCCGATCCATTCAAACAGTGCGGATCTATTTTCACCCCATCCGGTAGCCTAAGTCTGGACTAACTTTTTCACCAAGGCTAAAGCCCGCGGATCAACCGGGACAACCGGATGGAGAGACTAGAGGGTGGATTTCCGGAGTGTGAGGGTGCCGCCACGCTTCGGATTACTCAAAAAGTCTTGCGCACGACTAAAAATATACCCTTTTTTGGAGGTGGAGAATACTTTTTCAAAAAAAGTAAATTGGGAGGGAGCGGCAAGGTGGCAAGCTGGAAAGGGACCAACCCTTGATGACCCTGTCCCCGCGTCCTCTCTCCGTCCTCCCATGTGGTCTAGTGGTTAGGATTCGTGGTTTTCACCCACGCGGCCCGGGTTCGATTCCCGGCATGGGAAGTTGCCTTTTGCTATTTTCGAAATAGAGATCGTAAGGACTTGATGACACCTTTTAGAGGTATTGGAAGTATCATTTTTGTGATTTCGCAGGAAAATGTGTGCTCGACAATCTGGCAATCAACAATTTGTGCAAAAATCATAAATCGGTCGTTTTAAGGGAAGCTATAAAATTACTTTGACCTTGAGCAGCTGATAAGGCTAATCTCTACCAAACCATAAAAGATGCTAACTTTATAATACTATCAAAACTACGGAAAGGTACCTAAAATCAATTATCAATCTAGAAAACACAATTTTTCCAGGAATCCCAACGTCGCGGCTACTGCTCAAGGCATCTTTTTCGTTAAAGAGCAAGCCAGGAGCCCCAAGTGTCCTTTCCGGTCAATCGATTATGGGAGCTGGAGGGCTTCCACCAGGATTGACGATGCAATCCCCGGTGCTACTATCCCCACAGCAAACGATACCACCTCAACTGCCAGCTCCTCCAATTTCCGTGTCGACCCCGGTGACGGCTCCTTCCGGATTCCAGCATTTGTTGCAGTAAGTTGTACGAATTATACGGTTTATGAGAGATCAAGTATCCCTTAAAAAATGCCACAGCAGACCTTAAAGCGGTTCATTTTAGCGAAAAAATCGTACGCTACGCTACGTGTGCATACAACAGAACTTTCGTTCCGTCAGTTAGTGTTCAAACTGAACAGCACTAATGTAAAAACTGTTTTTATTACGACTTTAGACGTGTGAGAACCTTTCTAAAAAGAGCTAACTTTATACTGGAGATTATCAGACCGGTTTTTGGCTTTAAAACTCTCTATAGTCCAATTTTCTTAAAAAGAATCATTGGGAGTACGGTATTCAAAATAGTTCCATTATTTAGCTTAAGTGAAAACGGTTTACACAGAGAAATCTACGTCTTGCCAGGTACAAGAAAAAAAGCGCAGCTTGCCTGGGTAGTCGAAGAACAGAAACTGCAAATTTGCATACGCTTTGGTATATTCCGCTTGGGTTGTGGGCTCTGCACCTCAAGCCTCGCCTAGCCTATCCTTAATGCAGCCAATTTTTGCTTAGCTTCATCCATTAACGATACTTTTCAGCTTCCTGGGCACACTGGGAAAGAACGGCGTCGTCGACGGGGCCCTTGCCCCAAAATCTGCCACCACAGCCACTGCAGCCATCGACATGGGCAATATGATGCAGTCCAATTGACAATTAATACATGATGTAGCTGATTTTTATAGTCATTTTTAATGTGAAAACGCGGCAGATTCGGCTTTTAGTGGAATTTGCTCACACAAAAAGCTAGCTGAAAAAATATACTTCCCTGGACTTTCAAATCGTAGCTTTCAGCTCCAATATAGATTTCATCATTAAGAAAAAGACTGGATTGTATTTTTGAGCAAAATTAAATAAATAATAAAATAATTTACGAACGGCGAAACTCAGAAAAAATTCAAAATGAAATTCTGAAAAAATTGGAATTGAAGGTTTTGAAAAATTTCGGACCTCTGGTGAAATAGAAATTCAAATTTTCCCATCTACTTAAAAGTCACATTTTTAAAAAATTTAGCAGCTTTTTGCACAATTTTAATATTCTTGTACTTTTTAAAGATGCAAAAACAATTAGAATACCTAAAATAATTATATTGGATTTTTCGAAGATTTTCCCTGCCTGCACCGACCCTTTAAAACCGTAAAATCCGCTCTCGAAATTTGAATCCAGTGTTTTCCTAAAAGCCCTAGCATTTCCCATGCATTAATAGGCCTCTCCCCTTTTCCACCGTCATCCAGGAATTATTTCCATTTTTTCGAATTTTTATTTCAATATTTTTGTATATTTTTAATTCCTTACAAATTCGTTGCTCCACAGGTTGTCTGTTGCCCCCGGTCGTAAGTACACACAAAAAATGCTCCCACCGCCACATGCTAATTCCCTGGGTTCACCGTTATTCAAATGTAGTACAAAAACCAGCTATAAAAATTCCCTAATTACCATAATTCTATATATACAAAAATATTAGAAAATACCGGTGCGCCCAAATATCGTAAAACCCCTACCATTAATGCATAGTAGCCCCTGGAACTTGCCCAATTTTTAGAGTTTTGAAAAAACGATTTTTTTTTGTATTTTTCGATTCCGCTGACACACAAAATTACGGACACGCCCCTTTTCCGGATTTATGCAAATTACACTGTCGATTCTACATTTTTCAATCCCGGTTAGATTTTTCTATATTTTTAATAGCCATTTTTCCGAGTATTTTCTTTTGACGATTCGAGCCCGGTGTCCTTTTTCTTCAAAAAATTTTGCGGTTACAGTATGTTAATTTCTATGTATTTTTGCATTTTATACATTTCGATTTTAAATTCCCGTAACGTTGCAATGGTTTTCTGACGCTCCTCAATGAAATGTGCAACAAAAGTTTACGATTCCTCCTCCGCCTCCTCCTCGCTCGCTACAAGACACTACTCTTTGCACACCTATGGCTACTGTATCTTTTGTGCTATATTTTTCATTTCTGATACTTTTGGTGGCACTTCAGTATTTTTCCTACACTCAGTAAAATAACTATAAAGGCAGTGGTTTCTGTCGAATATCTCGGCGGTTTTTGCACTTATCGTGATGCAATTTTAAGAATAGGCTTCTGAAGAGTCACTTGATATCCTATTACAAATCCAGAACCAAATCCGTTCGTGGAAAGTACGGGTTTTGGCAAATGACGTTTTCGAAACTGTAAAAAAACTATAAAGGCAGTCGAAAGAAATTCATTCAAAAATTCCCAATGTATTTTTTTGCAAATTTACAATACCATCATGGTTGCTAGAACGCTTTTTATTAAAATTGTTTTCTAGCATTAATGGTAGCTTATTTTAGTGATTCGACCCGCCATGGCCCGGCCAGCTGATGCTCCCCCATCTTGTAACGTTCTCTAAAAAATTCCTTCGTCGGAGCGCTATTCTGGCCGCGTCCCTGGCTTGGTCTGGGGCTTTAGTATTGTGGGCCGATGGGAAACGAGCACCGAAAGCAGCCCAGGCGCTCGCGTGGACCAATAACGTAATGATATTTAGCCAGGGCGAAATTCGAACTCGAGGCTTAATTTCGGCAACGGCTTCAGGAAGCGGACTATATTTTTGTTTTTTCAGGAAATTATATAATGCTCTATGCTTGCCTGCTACTATATTTGCTCTTTAAAACACCTGGCGGTGGCGAAATAAGACGTCCAAGGCGCCTGAAACTGCTTCATTAACGGGGGCGCATCAGCGACTGCTCGGAACAAGTTTAAGTTTCGTCGCCAAGCTTCCCGGCCTGAACAAAAGACATGTCGGGATTACGAAACACGTAAACGACGATTTAATCGTAACTAGGGATCGTGCGTTCGGCCGATCGGTGGATCCCGTGTAACGCCCTAGAAATCCCAGATGCAAGCTGGAAATTCTTGGGTATCTAATTTTCTCCAGAGGAGATGCTAACCTAGAAACATTTTGTTCAGCTGCACACGTGCACGGATAAGCCGTAGCCAAGCCGCCTAAGACACCCCGGCACAAAAATTCCGAATCCGGCTGTGATTTAGGCAACTTCTATTCGCTTCCGCACCTGTGAGAGATTACATTATAGAATTGCCTGCGCTTTCTTGACGTTTCAAATCGAGTTTCCAATTGGCCCACAATACTAAAGCCTCAGACCAGTCTCAAGGACGCGGCCAGAATAGCGCTCCGACGAGAGGAATTTTTTAGAGAACGTTACAAGATGGAAGCATCAGCTGGCCGGGCCACGGCGGGTCGAGTCACCGAAATGGGCTACCATTAATGCTAGAAAACAATTTTTAATAAAAAACGTTCTAGCAACCATGATGGTATTGTAAATTTGCAAAGAAAATACATTGGGAATTTTTTGGAACGAATTTCTTTTCGACTGCCTTTATAGTTTTTTACAGTTTCGGAAACGTCATTTGCCAAAACCCGTACTTTCCACGAACGGATTTGTTTCGGATTTGTACAGGATATCAAGTGACTCTTCAGAAGCCTATTCTTAAAATTGCCATCACGATAAGTGCAAAACCGCCGAGATATTCGGCCAAAACCACTGCCTTTATAGTTATTTTACTGAGTGTATTGCTGGCCCTA